ATTGATCAGAGGGAGATAGAGAGATACAAAGTAACATTGTATATAAACATTGATCAGAGGTAGAGAGAGAGATACAAAGTAACATTGTTTATAAACATTGATCATAGGGAGAGGACCGGTCTCCCAGCTTCCTGATTGATCAGGAAGCCAGGCTGCCTAGGAACAAGTGGACCCGGCTTCCTAGCCAATCAGGAAGCCGGGAGGTGGGTCATGACGTGCGTCCCAGCTTCCTGATTGGCTAGGAAACTGGCTTCACTTTTTGATAGGCAGCCTGGCTTCCTAACCAATCAGAAAGCCGGGCGGCAGTTCCTGACTCTTATTCCGGCTTCCTGATTAGTCAGGAAGCCACGCAGCCTAGCAGCACGAAGCGGGTCATGTTTGCCGCCCGGCTTCTTGATTGGCTAGGAAGCTAGCTTTACTTGTTGCTAGGAAGCCAGACGGCACCTCATGACTCGCGGCCCGGCTTCCTGATTGGTCAGGAAGCCAGGCAGCCTCTGAAGCCGGGGTTCTTTTGCTAGAACACCGGCTGCACAGACAATCAGGGAGCCGGGCGACAGGTCATAATCCGCCGCCTGACTTCCTGACAATCGGGACACACGGCACCGTTACTTGGTATCGCTGAGTAGCAAATAAAAAACAATATTAATACTCGTATTCGATACCAAAAAACGGTGTCGGTGCCTCCCTAATACTTACAGTAACGGTATTTATTTCACGAACATTGATCAGTGTAGGAGAATCTGTGTTTGTTTTTGTTTTATTGTTTTAGCATTAAAAAAACAAATCAATATGAATATCAGCGAGGAGAAGTCTTGTTTGCTCTAAATAATAACAATCTCTGTGTTACTTTGTTATCTTAAAGTGACATTAAACCCTCAGATGTTTTAACATAAAACAATACTGCAATGTGCGCCTTACTGTAATCCATGGTTGTTTCTTCTCTTTGCTGCTCTTCCTTTTAAATCTGTATCTGTTCTCATGCTTGGGGAGAACTTCTGTTTTGCAGCAGACTGCCTTGTCTCAGGAATGGATACATGGTGTCTGTGTGCAGGTTCACAACCTGAGCCAGCACTACAGGAAGAGGCCCTGAGCTGCAAAGGGAAGTTCTCCCCCAGCATGAGAAGACATGAGGATTTAAAAGGAAGAGCAGCAAAGAGAAGGGAAACTACCATGGATTACAGTAAGGCGCACATTACACTATTGTTTTATGCTAAAAAATCTGAGGGTTTAATGTCACTTTAAGTAAAGTAATTATTAAATAATCCGACCATAGAGGAAGTGCACGCGTTGCTCCGCAGGCGGTGTAGAGGTGTGAAAGCTGAGCGGGTGACATGAGTGTACCTGGGACGCTCGGTGGGCAGACGTGCGATCTTCAGAATCCTGCGAATACGCTTTGCAAGTTCATAAAGAGTACAACAAAAACCACACGCTGATAGATTTCCGACTTGTTCGCGAGCTGCAAAAGATGTAAGTAAGTGTCTCTGACCGGCGGACGCGACTGAACTACGAACATTTCCTCTCTAATGAGGTTTTTTTTCCGTGAAGCAGATTTGTTTATTGTAAATCATTTGAAAGAATGAAGATTAAATTCAGATGTAAAATATTCATATTCCGGAGCAATCGTTATTAAAGGAGAACTATGGGGTCAGTGTTTTTCCCCATAGTTCTCCTAAGGGTAACGGGAGGACACAAACTAGCGGCCTCCCGTCACCCTAAGCTCAGTATGTAGGGAGCTACAGCTCGCGGTATACTGAGACGCCGCAGCCGGGACGAATCTCGGCATTACTGTCGGGATCCGCCCAGCTGCGTGAGTGACAGCCGGCTCTGCCTATCTAGAGGCGGAGCCAGCTGTACCCGCCCCCTCCCCCGTCCGTTCTGCCAGTCAGCGGTGGAGGATCGGAGAAGGGAGGGGGGGATTCGGATCGGAGAAGGGAGGGGGGAATCCTTGCAGGGAGCCGTGAGTGACAGTCACGGCCCTCTGCAGGGAGATGATCGAGAAGTGAGCGAGCGACGTTATGTGTTCCCGATCTACTGAGCCGACCTGTGACAGTCTCATTGTCACACGTCGCCCCGAACTATGAGGAGTGTAATTAGGAGGAGCGCGCTGGCTGCTGTTTGGTGACGTTCTTCAGAAAATGCTAAGTACCTGGCTGTGTCTGAGTCGGTGACCCGGAACAAGCCGGCAGGTTGTTGATATTGATTGAAGGCGGAACAACTGATCCGCAGACTTGTTTCGGGTCAGTGATGCCGCTGATATGACAGTGTGTCTGTGTAACCACTGGCAGGGCCGTCCCTGTAATGAGGCAGCCTGAGGCTTTTACCACAGGAGGCATCTCTTTGGGTCACGTTTGGGGTGGAAGACAGAGCCTGCCGCCCTATTTCCGGCCAGAGTGTCCCAGGTTGCAAAGAGCCAGGCAGGGAGATGTGTAAGGGCCGTACACATCTCTCAGCCTCTTAGCAAACTGGGATGCTCTGGCCGGCGTCCCACCCAGCTCTTAGCTACTACAGTAGTAAGTAACTCAGGGGTCAGTAGTAAGTAACTCAGGGGTCAGTAGGGAGTAACTCAGGGGTCAGTAACATGACATAGAGGGGTAAAGTCTGCTGCAGCTTCCTGTGATTGGGGGAAGGTAACATGCATGAAGCCGACGTTCTCTTGATGTGGCTGAGAAGGAGGACGAGCACTTTAAGTGATGGAGATCTGTCCCGCCTCCCCCTCCCCTCCCCCTCCTCTGTGATGATGATTTTCCATCCTAGCGTGTCGCCGGCGTGTAGTGAGTCAGCGGCAGTTAGCGGTCTGTGTGTATCACGCAGGGTCCCGTGTCATGAAGCCTGCGGACCGAACCCCCCCTCCCCCGCCCTGTACTAGAGAACTCTAATTGTAACAATGTGTTCCCTGCAGGAAGAGTACAGCACATTATAGGTGAGTCACCGGCCTCCACCGACCTCCGTTATGTGACCGCTAATAGAGAGTGACTCCGGAAAGGAAATGTCCTAAAGCATCACCCGAGTCTTCAGTCTGCTGGCACGTTTCCAATATCCCGACACACGTGAATTCTGAGGCCATTATATCTGACCTCCGTCCTTCTCTTCAGTCTTCTATCTGACCTCCGTCCATTCTCTTCAGTCTTCTATCTGACCTCCGTCCTTCTCTTCAGTCTTCTATCTGACCTCCGTCCTTCTCTTCAGTCTTCTATCTGACCTCCGTCCTTCCCTTCAGTCTTCTATCTGACCTCCGTCCTCCCCTTCAGTCTTCTATCTGACCTCCGTCCTCCCCTTCAGTCTTCTATCTGAAGTGATCTTCCTATGTTCCTCAGCTCCATCTGGTGATCTTCCTATGCTCCTCAGCTCCATCTAGTGATCTTCCTATGCTCCTCAGCACCATCTAGTGATCTTCCTATGCTCCTCAGCTCCATCTAGTGATCATCCTATGCTCCTCAGCACCATCTAGTGATCATCCTATGCTCCTCACCTCCATCTAGTGATCATCCTGTGCTCCTCACCTCCATCTAGTGATCTTCCTATGCTCCTCACCTCCATCTAGTGATCATCCTATGCTCCTCAGCACCATCTAGTGATCTTCCTATGTTCCTCAGCACCATCTAGTGATCATCCTATGTTCCTCAGCACCATCTAGTGATCTTCCTATGTTCCTCAGCTCCATCTAGTGATCTTCCTATGTTCCTTAGCTCCATCTAGTGGGCATAATTCTCTGTGATTCTCCTTCATTGAGCTGCTCTCTCTGCGACGTTTTATAAAGACAACCCATGCCGTATGGAATGTGTTTCTGAAGACTTTCTTCTACTTTAATAACAGTCATTATTTTTGTTGTTCATTGCAAAGAAAAAAGAAACATTTCTTTTTGTTCTCCATGAGATCCCAGAGCAATAATTGAATGTTTTTCTTTCACTCACTCTTCTTTTTCTCTGTTTACTGTATCAACCAATCAGGATTTTCCCTTTGTATCCCATAGTAACCAATCAGGATTCTCCCTTTGTATCCCATAGTAACCAATCAGGATTTTTCCTTTGTATCCCATAGTAACCAATCAGGATTTTCCCTTTGTATCCCATAGTAACCAATCAGGATTTTCCCTTTGTATCCCATAGTAACCAATCAGGATTTTTCCTTTGTATCCCATAGTAACCAATCAGGATTCTCCCTTTGTATCCCATAGTAACCAATCAGGATTTTCCCTTTGTATCCCATAGTAACCAATCAGGATTTTCCCTTTGTATCCCATAGTAACCAATCAGGATTTCCCTTTGTATCCCATATTAACCAATCAGGATTTTCCCTTTGTATCCCATAGTAACCAATCAGGATTCTCCCTTTGTATCCCATAGTAACCAATCAGGATTTTCCCTTTGTATCCCATAGTAACCAATCAGGATTTCCCTTTGTATCCCATATTAACCAATCAGGATTTTCCCTTTGTATCCCATAGTAACCAATCAGCATTTTCCTTCAGAAAAGTTAATTGAAGCACTTTGTTTTATGTTTGGCATTGTATGAATTATTGCTTTTCAGTATTTTTAGTGTCGTGTTTATATTGTTTCAAGGTTCCTCACACTTCCAGGGCCAGATTGCCATAGTCAGCACTTTGGAGGGGACATGGTCCATGTGTGGTGGAGCTGTCCAAGGTTACCCTCGTTGTGGTGAAGAAACTTCAGGCGCCTGCTCACGCCTTTTATTATTATCATCCAGAAAGATCTGTGGAGAGCATCGCTGCGCCCAACAATTGAAGGTCTAATAAACAAAAGCTCGCAACTTTTCTTGCTTAGTCAGAGTGCCCAATGCTTGGAAAAAGTTCAGAGTTGACCCTGGGAGAGCTACAGATTGAATGTTTTCTAGTGATAAATAATGAACCAGCGTACTCAAGGATTCCCAAAAACTCGGAAGTTATGGATACACCACACCTTACCTTGTCTGAACCCATCTAGTACAAGCTACCTGCTATTCTACCTCTCCCTTCAACCCTGAGGGTAACCCCCAACACACACCACCACCACCACTACTGCTACCACCACCACCAAAACAACAACCATCACCACCGCCACAACCATCACCACCACCACAACCAAAACAACAACCATCACCACCACAACCATCACCACAACAACCATCACCACTACCACCACCGCTTAACTTCTCATCTTCCTTTCCTAGCTATTCTTCCCCTGTCCTTCATTAGGAACTCTTGGGTCACCGGTATATTAACCTTCTTCTTCTTCTGTAACTTCTGTATCTAGAACCTCAGCTATCCACCAACAACCTAAAAT